AGTTAAGGATTTTTAGCCCCCGTTTGGTCATAGATTTTGCCAATTTTTTTTCAAATTTTATTTTGGCAAAACCTGTTTGTGTATAGATTTTATTCATATTTTGGCAAATTTTGAAAACAAAAATTTTCAAATCTCAAAACTAGCTCTAGACTTGTTTTTGGCTCAAAATATTATCGTTGAATTTTTTAACAATTTCAAAAATTATCCCAAAATTTTATATTTTATAAAAAAAACCCACCATTTATTATGATCTAGCTAATTACTATCATTTTCTTTTGAACTGATGAATCTTGTAATATTATTATAATTTGACGAATTGTAGTAGCTAGCAATTGTGTTATTAGCAGTTAATATTAAAATATTATGTTATGGTTTTAGGATAGTGTATTATGTAGTTCATTACAAAAATGATAATTTTGTATCAAATTTATCTATGTTCGGGACTATAGTTTCTGATAATGATAATGAATGACATCTATATAGGTTCTGCATATACATTATTAGCAAGTTTATTTTTTTTGGTATTGTTGGATATTTTTTATAGTTCTTAGAATTTATGGGCATAAGTCACATTTCATGTTTTTTCAAAAAAAAAAAAAAAAGTAAAATATGTTTTGAAACATGATGTCTAAACAAATTTTTATTTTCAAACCAAACTTTACCCAACTTGAGTGGTAAGTATCTCAAGTTCGAGTTTTGGGAATGAAACCGCCTTTGGTATAGAGCGTTTTGTGCCCCAAAAATGAAACTTTCCCACATGAATACGAATTAGTCGAATCTCAGAGTGAATAGCCACTACTAAAAATCCGGTAAAAAGCGACCAACTTTGGTCGGTAATGGCCAATAACCGTCCAAAACGTGACCATTTACGTGTGGACGGTATTTTAGGGGTCAGAAAGGTATACCGACCAACTTTGGTCGGTCAATTAAATTTAAAAAAAAAATATTACAAAAAAACCCGACCAAAGTTGGTCGGTATTTTAATTATGTAATCAAAAGATTCACCATCTAAGAATCGAACCGGGGCATGTACTGTGGCAGGATACTATTATACCACTAGACCATTGGTGCATTTTATTTTAAAACTGTCTTTTATTTGATTTATACTCTTTAATTATATTTTCGCACGAAAATAACCGACCAAAGTTGGTCGGTTTTATTAAAAAATAAAATTACCGACCAAAGTTGGTCGGTTTTTTAAAATGACCGGCCAAATTAACCGACCAACTTTAATCGGTTTTTTTAATATTAATTTTTATTTATTTTAAGTGAAAAACCGACCAAAGTTGGTCGATTTCTTGAAAAATAAATTTCGCGGGACTCAAAAATAATTTTCCGCATTTTTGTGCCAAAGAAAACCGACCAAAGTTGGTCGGCTTCGTAAAAACAAATTAAAAAATAAAATATTTTAAAAAGCCGACCAATTTTGGTCAGTTTTTTGGCCGGTTTTTTGACCGACCAAGATTTATCGATCGACCTTGATCGTTTTTTGCCAAATTTCTAACAGTGAGCGAATACAAAATAGTAAACCAAAAAAATAATACAGTAAAGTTGTGGAGGTTTTCACAATCCTATCGAGCTTAAATACTATTACTAGTGCATTACAACAATCAAATTACCTAAAATAAATGTATCAATTTTTTATATGTTTTACACGGTTTGTTTATTCTACTATATGGGATCAGAATGCTGCTTCTTCGAGAAGAGCTCCCCCACATTAATCCAAGTTACACAACAAAAATTTCCAAGGAAATTGTTGGAAAAAATAGCCTTTTGGTATACCTATAAGGGGTGCTAGCTAATTAGCCGACCCATTATGTCTAACCCTAAGCTTTAGTGCAGTCTATATAAATACCACTATAGGTATTGGGAGACTCACTTATTCATACGAGAGGGCGGCTAGGGTTATAAGCTCTCTGCATATTTCCAACGACCGGTGACACAAGTCGTGATTGTTGCAGATCCGCTTCCACTAAGAAGAAACCTGTATACTACAAAAATTAAAAAGCTCCTGCATGCACTTAATTTACACTAATCAAGTGATTTACATTTCTATTAATCACTTAAGAAGGAGATTGGATGGATCAGCAAAACGAAGAGAGAATGATTTGGGTTCATCCCAATTGAAACCATTGTCAAAATTCTGAGAATAAGTGTATTTATCATAACGAGGAACTTGTACATGCACAGACTTAGGACTCTCAAACCTTAATCTCTTCTTCATTTCCTTCTTCTCCTTTGACAGTTTCTTCCACAAAACTTTCCAAATTGAACTTTTGGTACCTCTACTTTTAGAAAATGACTCTTTCAGTACTGTTTTTTCATCATGATAATATCTTCCTAGTCGAATACTTCTGCTTCTTGTGCTAAAAATTTTGTACCAATTCTTGACATCCATTTTGATAAGCAAGAAATTAAGTTGAGTAAACAAGAAAATAATGAGATAATAAGGTTGTGAATAAGTATAGAGTTGGGACTTAGGAGTGATATGAATTTTGGACCTTTAAAGGAAATGGCTATGGAATTTAATATGCTTTTTGGCAAGAGATTTTGGACAGAAATGATGGGCTTAGACTTTAAATAAGATGGTTCACATGGTTTGACCGAAGAAAATGTTTTGGACATAATTTTATTTAATTCATATGTTCTGTTTTTATACTAACTTTTTTAATAATATTTAAGTAAATTATTCTCAGGCACGTGATTTATATTTAAAAAATGCTGATAGTTGTTGTGAATTTATTGGATAAATAGAGGAAGCTGCTTGGTTCCTTTATTTTTTTTTAAAAACAAATTAATTAAATTATAAGCATGTGACACAATTTAAACGTTACCTACAACAAAATATAAGTTAATACCTTACGTGGACTGGTCCTTTTCTTAAAATTTCCCATCATCTAAAATTGAATTATTGGAATAAAGTTATGGAGGTTGAGATATCACAATCATATCGAGTTTCAATTCCATTTGCTAGTATATTTTATAATAAATGTATTAATTTTCCATGATATAGACATGGTTTTATTTGTTCTACATGAGATCAGCTTCCTCCAAAATCCAAGTTCTTGGTTCTTCAAGATATAATTGTCATAAAAATGATCGATTTTAGCATAAACTTATCCCATATGTGAATGGTTTAAACGAAAGAATAGGAATTCCACTTTATAATTAATATGCATGAGTTACAAAAAAGTTAGAAAATTAGCAGCCCTAATACATAAACCCATCGGAAAATATTACTTTTACAAGTGTTCCTGGGATTAATTTTGATGTGTAGATTAGGAGTGATTCCAAGTAATTTGAAATTAGAATCTTCCACAATATGTTATGCAAATTACAAAAAAAAAAAATTAGTCATAATCGGTGTGTATCCAAATTAATCAGAGCCAATAAATTTGGAATAAGTGCGTGTTAAACAGGGGAGATATGAGAAGATTTTGTCTTCCCATCAATTAGACAGGGGGGGAGCTAGGGATGGAAAAGGTTCGTTCGAATTCTCTTTTCCAAAAGGTTAGACTATAATACAGGTAAAATTTATTTGTTATGTATATAAAATAGACGTTGTTATGTGTTGTATGTAAAAATTTCTTAGTGAAAATTTTGGCTCCACATCTACAAGTGATATTTAATGGATTTCTACTCATGCACTTTATGAACACGTCGTTTACTATATTGCTAGTTATAAAGTAATACTGGTACTGATAAAAAGGAAACGAATGTGGTCATATTGAATTACTGAATCTTATGAGATTATTGCATTTTATTATAGATTTTCAATGGGTGCGCGCCATATATATTTGTGACATTGATACTGTCCAGATTATTTGGACCATAAAAACACATTCCTAACACATCAAACTATCACAACAATTAAAATATGAAGTTGCACTGCTTTAGTTAGGATTCAAACAACAATTTTGGTGATTTGATTAACAGAAATAACACCCTTAATATAATGGTCCCTAAGCAATAAAACACTATTACTGAAATCCACTTTAAGAGTGTTTTCAGTGCTTTTGGTATGGATTTTTTAGTTAGTTTTTTTTATGGGTGTTTTCCTTTTTCAGTCTATATCCTGATATTTTAGTGCACACTGTATTATTTTTCAAATAATTAATGTGGTTCATTTTGAATTCCTAATTACAAGAAAACTTAAAAATTAGGAGTCCAACAGTGGAGCTATTATGTGTAATATTAACAAATAGGGACTATGGGTGATACAAGATTTGATGTTATTGATAATATTTTTAAAAAATTGATCGATAAGGAGAAAAAAGAGAGCAGGAAACGTGGGTGATGCAAAAAAAGAAATGTGCAATTAATCTTGGTGGATATGAGGTATGTGAAAGTTTATTATCAAATTTTACATATAAATAATTGAAGAGTATCATCAGAATTTTGACATTTATGTTTTATTACTCGTTTGATTAGTTTTGATAGAACTATATAGGGAGAAATTAAAAAATAGCCAGATTTACAAGTGGTCATTCAAAAATAGTCACAGTTTCAAAAGTAATCGAAATTATAATTTGAACGAAAACACGGTTCAAAATCCGAAAAAATACTCCAGCATAAATACTGGAATTCCAGCATAAGTATACTGGAACTCCAGCATATTATACTGGAGTTCCAGTAAATATATCGGTCCAGCATAATATGCTGGAAGTTCATACACAGGTGCACCGATCTCCAGTATATTATGCTGGAACTTTCCGTGTTGCAGCAAAATAGTGACTATTTCTCAATGACTTTGTAAATGCTGGCTATTTTTGAATGATCAGTTCGAAAACTAGCTAGCCCGTGCTATTTTTATGTTATATTTTAGAAATAAAAACTACTATAATAAATTGAAAGACTTTAGCCCAAGCCCAAAGACTTTAGTTAAAGCCCAAATTCAAACGCAAACAGCTATATATATTGCTGGACGTTTTTGTTGTTCAAGCTATTCATCTAGACGGGTCAAACCAGCTTAACAACTAACAAAAAGGCACAAACAATTAGGTACAATAATTCGCAATAACGTAGAAAAATGAATTTTGTATCACAAATAAGAATTCTTTCCTTATTTCCTTTAATCACAAAACTTTAAAATTCTCCATTCTGAACAGGAGAAAATTACATAAAGAATTTAAATGATGAATAAAAAAATCGATTATAAGCTTAAAAAAATAACTCCACGAGTGTACTAATGGACCAAGTACGTAATCGCAAGTGCAACAAGTAGAAGAACATAAGCAATCCCTTGATCAATCGCTGTGCCTGCAAAAGAATTCCAAATCAATTTCTTCATATTTAAATTTTAAAGTGTATTTATGGAAAATCTAAGAGAAGAAGATTTTACGAGTTTAAGTTCTATATACAATCGGTTGAAAAATATATTTATATAATCAAGTTTACTTGTAAATCTGTTATCACATAGTATTAAACTACTTTAATATTGTAAAAAAATAATAATTAAAACACTGCCGGTATATATAACTTATATCTTTAACTTGTATAGTGTAAAAGATTTTTCTACCAATGCAACTTAACCTGTTATATTGTTGCTTGTCTTATTTTTAAGATTACTAATCTGCATGTAATTATCTGTTAGGTGAATTGATAGCGTTAAAATTATTATACACAACTAGTGCCTAGTATATATAAGTTAAACTCAAAAGAAGAAGAAGATTGAAAGAAGGGAAAAAAGATGTTACCGTCATTTGAAGGAAGTGGGGCTGAAGAAGGAGCCATGTCTTGTCCAAAACTAAACTCAACCAAAGCCAACAACAAAAATCCAATAATAGATGAGAGGCTCATCAATCTAACTGAATTCATCTTCAAATTCAAGAAGAAACAAATTAGAAAATTTTGAGAGATATATTAAGAGAAGAGAAAGGGGATTTTGCAGTTTACAGAGGAAAGAATATATATGGTGGAGAAAAAAGAGGGTCTCGTCATAGTTTATATACGAATGTAATTATGTGTGTGAATTTTCAAGGAAACAAAGAAGAAAAGTTGTAGTAGTTGGGTAAAAGATATGACTAGGATTAAATAAAAAAGAAAAAGAAAATACAAAGTTGATTTAATTGACTTGGTAGGCTGTTGATGTTTGACTCAAAGGCGGAATACGATTTTAAATTAAAGTATTATTCCACCTCCTAATATTTGTGGGAGACTCGCTTAAGATTAAAGTTTTTTAGTTAAGTTGAAAAGTAGTATTTAAAAATATAAAATTATGCTTGGACATGCTTTTCACTTGATAAAATTTTGCAGTTTTGTGAGTAGGTAAAACAATATTTCGGAAAGCTTGTAAAAATGGTCAAAAGCACTTTTTGATTTTTGAAAAACCCATTTCTGAAAAATCTCAAAAACCTACAAAATTTAATAGACAAATACGTTTTTCTTTTTAAAAAAAAACGAAAACAAAGAAAACAAATTATGTTCAAACGGGTCCTAGAACCCCACTTATTTTTCCTTTTGTAGGCTTGTACCACTTGTTAACTGTTGCCTTGTTGGGTAACATCAATATCTATCTAGATGATGCTTTGGAGATACATTGATATCTCTATAATATTCTTATATAATAACACTTTTTTATAAAAATTAGATTTTTTTAGAACTAATTTTTATGTTATGTTATAATATATATGTTCTCTATAACAACGCTTCGCTATAACATTCAAAAATATTCGAAACAAATAAGACTGTTATAGAGAGATTTGACTATACACGGGTTGACAGTAATGGTAGAACATAATGTTTGCTTGATGGATTGGTTAAGAAACAATGTTATGCTCTTATGACTGTATAATTTTTGGTAAGATGGTAAACTTTGATTGTGTAAGTTGAATCATGGCAATAAATTAATATTACTTGTGCAAATTTGCATACATAATTTAACAAATTTATTTAATTTAATTTAATACTATATATACATATCTACATTTTTCATTAAGTGATGGCGTAGCAGGCTCGTATAGTCGTTGTGGATGGACCATTGAGAGAGTGGGAGTGACGCATAAGACTTTGAAGTTTGAAGAGTCTAATATTCAACAATAAAAATATGAATTAGTATTGAGGAGTTTTCAGAAACCGCTATTGTTTAGTGGCTATTAACTTTCTATAGTTATTATATACATATAATTACTTCTTATAGCTACTATTCAATTGTTACGGTAGTGTATTCACATGTATTCGCGTTGTTGTATTAATGAATACAACAACAAAAAATGCCTAAAATCAGGGTAGTCCAGTTGTACGCGCATGTATTCACATGTATTTGCGTCATGTATTGATGAATACAGTAACGGCAATCTCTTAAAAATATGTATGTCCAGCTGTCTAAGAGAAGAAAAACATAAATAACGTATTTTATGCCTTATTTCATGCCTCAATGGTAGTATATACCATAAAATACTTATTTTGGTATAAAATATAAAAGATAACTATAAAAATAATATTTAAAATAATTTTGATTTATAATAAATATGGTGTATACCTTTGCTATAGGAGGTATAATTTTCATTATTATAACCCAAGAATTAGTAGATTTTACTTTTCAACGACCCAAAAATCAGTAGATGGTCAGCTTATTTAGTCGCCAAATTTGCATGGACTTTATGACTTTTCTAATCTAAAATATAATATTCCGATGATTGCATATATTAGTATTAAAATTTCTTTCCTTTCTGGAAACTTGCTTTCGTCCACTTTACACATGCTGAAAAGGAAACCTCACATTAATTTCCCTGTCCACATTTAGGTCATATTCATTATTCACTATTTGGTTTAATATTTCAATTGAGTCATTTCCAAACCTCACATATTCATTTTCCTTTACCGAACATCTACTCCAACTTTATGATCACTACTTCCCGGATTAGAAGCAAGTAGTGGTGGTAAAATGGATATAAAAAAAAAACTAATTATTCATCTATATTATTCACTTAGAAATGAGTTGGATAATGAACTTTTAAAAATATGTTAAATATTGATAAGGTTCCTATCATCCACTTAAAAAATAAATAACCAATGATTTAACTTTTATATTTGCAAAGACTCAAGTTGAGAGTTTCTCAAATTTGGGAGGCTAGGAATTCTCCCAAAAGTAGTTATATTCAAGAAGCCATGGATAATGTGTAAAGCCATATTATTCGCCGATTAATCCATTTTCTATCCGTATTAAATATGGATCGGTTTATCCGTTTTGTATTATCCGTTTTTGACTCGCCCTTATCTTATCTGACCTACCCATTTGCTACCTCTAGATGCAAGTATTGAATTATGTTAATATATCTTAATTACATGATAACTTGAAATAAAAATACATAGTACTAAGTATTATTAAATAAGTATGAAAAAGAGTTGTCCAGTGCACAAGGCATCTTGTATTCCTGCATGATCGGGGGAAGGAATGCACCCCAAGGGTGTGATGAAAATAGCCTAACCTAATATAAGTATTAGTGGCTGCTTCTACGACTCGAATCTGCGACCTATAGGTCACACGGAAGACAGTATTATTGTTGCTCCAAGGTAAAATTAAGTGATAAATTTTATGTGAAAAATATGTAACATGGATAAGTGCATGTAGTCTGATGCTGAAGTATTTTTCGTCACATGTAATTAAAGAAGTACTCTTGTACATAATAGAAATCTTTCTCATTTTCTTTCTCTTTCTGTTAGCATGTGGACTAAATACAAATTAAAGGATTATCAAATAGGTTCGATCAATAATTACAGGCTAAGATTTTAAGAAACCTTATCTAATGATGGGAAACTCACAATAAACTAAAGGGATGTTTATCCAAATAGCCGGTCATATTCAATGTCTATTTTTTTTAGTTATATATATAGATTATACATTGATTATACACAGTTATACACATATAATACATAAATTATGCATGTATAATACCTCCACCGGCTATTTGTAGTTTAACCGATTTGGTGGACGACTATTTGGGTTAATTCTTCTAAACTAAAACAGAACTTAACTTTATGCATCTCCTTTTCCGGTGTTTTCACATTTACAAGGAACGAAAGAAATAATGAAATGAAAGGGTTGTAGTGGAGTGATAAGTACTAAGTAGTCCTTCTTCATTCATCAGCGGTCTCAAATTCAAGATTTGGGTAAGGAATCATCTTTGTCGGGAAGCACTTTATCCTCCCATTTTAGGATTTTATTATTAAGTTGGGAATACTATTAATGCTTACACTCTAATAGTATTGATGGGATTTTTTACACGCAATAGGTGTGGGCTAATTTGTCACTATCCCCCTTCCCTTCCTCTAATTCCTAGAATTTTTTTCATTTTAAAAAAGTTGAAATAATGTGGCCTGAAACTCTATACAAAACGAATCCATCCAAGATAAAATTCGCAAATAATCACATTTTAGCTTCTCTAATAATATATTTAGTGCGATCCCATAATAAGAATTTGAAAAGGCCTTGTGTGAGATAAAGATGATGTTTTAGATAGACCCGCTCAAGAAAATAATTTTTAAAATAGGTTTGAAAAATATAAGAGTAAAAATAGTAATTAAGATGAAGATGTACGCAGATTTTACCTCTTTTTGTGTGAGGTAGAGAACTTGTTTCCAATAGACTCTCGGCTCAAGGAAAGTGTTTTTAATATACGTTTGAAAAATACAAGAGTAAGAAAAAAAATAAGATAAAAATATTGAAGAAAAAAAAAAGTATTGACAGTAAAAATAGTAAAGATAACTAAAGTAAAAGAAATAACAGTATTAGTAAAATTGAAGAATAAGATAATAATAAAAAAATAATAATAATACTGATAACTTTTAATTCAGCCTCTATAATTAAAAAGTAGCCACTAATATGGAGTTCAGAATTTTACAGTAAAACTTCAGGATATTATCGTAGAGTTTTAACTTTTCATAAAAATAATTATTTTTCAATTATAATGCTACAACTAGAAGCCCGCGCTATTACAAGCAAACATTAAGGCCCATTATTGCAAGCCCCCCTTGAGCACCTGTGTTATTTTCCATTTATTCATCCCTTTCATAGCAACTCTAATTCTAATCTCCAAATTTCATTTTTTTAAAAAATTTAAAATAAATTACTGAAATTTTTTCATAAAACTTTAAATCCTACATGTAGTCATATAAGAAAATGTTATTTCACGAAAAATGAATGCGTAAAGGAAAGCATTTTATGAATGTGATGATAAGAAATACTTCTAATAAAAAATTATGATTCAAGAGTTATCTAGAAATATAGCTGATCAAATGAAATTGACTGCACTCATTATTTTCTACATAATCGAATACATGAAGTTGTTTTTATGTGTCCTATCGATTACGAGTTCGAACCGTAAAAAATCAATTAATACTTGCATTATGGTAATATATTTACATCATCATACTCTTTGAGATATGGCCTTTCACTAAATTTGCGTGAACACATGATACTTTGTGCATCAGACTGTCATTTTTAATGATTCTGAACTTAATAATTTAAATTTAATAATACTAAATGTTTCTATAAATAATTAGAGTCAAAGATAATACTAGATGTCTTTGCAATTGCTGTCGATGTCATCTTGTAAGATCCGACTAAGAAAAGGATCAGCATGCATCTTCTCCTTGTCCTCTTACTTCATCTTTTTTATAAAGTGTAACAGTCTTAACGTCACTTTTTTCGAATAAAGACACAATCCTTGTATAGAAAAAAAAATGAAGACTTCAAACAAATACAAAGTTTAACTTCTATATATTGGCATCCAGTAAGAAATTACATTATTATATATAATAGTAAGATATATAACCTTAGACCATAAACCAAAATATCTGCTATAATATATTAGGATATATTTATGGCTATTGTTTACCCCCAAAATAAGTAACAATTAATTTTTTACGCGGTTTAAAGGATACGTGGTTTAATTCAATACGAATAATTAAGAATAATGGGTAAA